TCACTGCACCGATAGCTGCATAGACCAGGATTTGAGTTGAGTTATTCGGGTTAAGAGATCAGAGGCTGAAGTTGGAGCTGAAAAGCTCTCCAGGGGGCTGCCAAGAATTTCACATCTCCCGTCAGAGCCAACAACACGCCTCTGGGAACAGTGGAATAATGGCTTCCACTTCTCTTCCAACTACCTGATCAGGTAGGAGTGTCTCTAACTGCTGAATTCTAACCTAGTACTATAGGGGGCAGGGATCCTAGGAGGGAGACTTCCTAGTTTCTCCTTTGTGGTGCAGAGGAGATCTGAGAAGCAGGTGGTGGTGAGGCCAAAACGCAGCACACATGGGATCCTAGAAACAAGGGTTCAACGCAGGAAAGCATTTGCAAGGGTTCCCGGAGTCATGGTCATGGGAAATGCCAGGACAAAGGCTGGGCGGCGAGACTGGAGGGCCAGTGTCCATAAGGGAGCAGAGGCCAAAGACTCTAGTCAGCACTGCCTCCCAGGTTTTAACAAATCTGAAGAAGATTGATATAACTGTTGGAGAGTTTGGAGTTGAATTAATGAAAGGAATGTGGAAAATTAAACAACAAAAAAAATAGGCAATAATTAACTCAAGGAACACCAAAAAAATTCCAAGAAAGGAAATGAACTCCTAGAACACCACAGCTCAGTTGAAATGACACAAACACAAGAAGCGGCAAGCATCACATACACCGGCTGTGCCCCTCCACAGTTCCGGTGTGGAAGCCTTCACCCCCTCCCACATGTATTAGAAGGTGGGCTTTGGGGAGGGGATTTGGTGTAGAGGAACTCGTGTGGGTGGGCTGTGATAGGATCAGTGCCCTTAAAAAGAGAGACCAGCGCATCGGCTTTCTCTACCTCCCCACCCCGCAGTTGTCTCCCCTCTGCCCAGAAACACTCCCACACCCTGCAAAGACAAGCCCGGAGAGGCTCACTTAGACCCAGACCACGACGGCACCCAGATCTCCAACTTCCAGCCTCCAGAACTGAGAGAAACAAATGTGTGGAAGTATTTTTAATATATAGACCAGACCTCATCAGTTCTCACCCCGTTCCCTTATTTAAAAGAAAATCTTTCTTTGGTGGCCATTTATTTCCTCGGCGTGTGGATTAAAGCGCCACTATTAAATTACCCTGTTTTCTTACCACCTGAATTACTGAGCCAATGTGGGAAGACACAGCCCCTGCATGATGGCCATGGCTGTCACAGATTCAAGGTGTACGTCATCGTCTTCTGAAGTCCCTGTCACTTCCCTCAGCTCTAGGGACTGAACTGCATCTCCTCCCAAGTTCACATGTTGACATCCTACCATCCGTGCAGGGGTACCGGAGGTGGGGCCTTTGGGAGGTGGTTAGGTCCCGAGGGTAGAGCCTTCCAGAATGGGACTGGAGACCCAGACAAGTCCCTCCCACTTGCACCAGATGAGGACACAGACGAGACCCCGCAAACCAGGAAGGAGGTCTCACCAGATTGTCAATGCACTGAGTGTCTTGATCCTGCATTTACCACCTGCAGAACTGTGACAACCTCCTTTGTTTATAAACCTCCAGTTCTTTCATATTTTTATTACTGCAGTGAAAGCAGACGGAGACACTGAGTCAAGGGTTCTTTCTGCTCGGTTCTAATTCAGCCTGGAGCGCTTTCTGGGGCCTCCCTGGGCAGGGTTCCTGTCTAAGGCAACAGCCCGGCTGGCAGGAGGCTGGGAGAAAGATGGTGAGGCTGGAGTGAGTGGGGGAAAGACCACTGAGGAGCAAGAGCACTCCGAGGTCCCCTGACAAAGGGACACAGCTTCTGTGATGTGCTGAGCCAGAGTGAGTGGTCCAGACAGGATGGGGAGCGGGGGACCTGTGCGCTTGCCCCACCACAGCAAACGGCACAGCGGCAAAACCGAAGGAGACTCAGGAGGAAGGTTAAGGCCCAGAGACGGGGCCACCCGGAGGGTAAAGCCAGTGCACGGTCACTCACCTTGACACCATTCTGCACACCTCCTGGGCCTTGGTTGGTGGCCTGTGGACTCCGTGAATGTAAAATCTTGTAGGAGGCATTTTGGCAAAGATTCCAGTCTGTTCCCTCCCCGCCTGGTTATCCACCGCTGGTGGCTTTCCAGGCTTGTCGGAGATACCGGTTTCCTCCGCACATCACTCCATCCCTGTGGCTCGATCAGAGCTCGCGTACTAGGGGCAAAGCATGGTAATGGCACCGCGGTGGTGGCTGCGCACAGGGCCACAGAAGGACCCGGGCGACCATCAGGTGCCTGGTGGCCGGGGAGGGAGGGGCTCTGCACAGTGGTGCGGGCCGGCGGGTTAAAGCAGGGACCAGGTTTGCCCCAACGGGGCCGGCTTTGAGTTGAGGTTCGTCACCAGCCGCCCCTGCTCCGGGCTAGACTCGGCTGGGAAAAGACCCCAGGGCGCCCCACAAGGGAAGGGCGGTCGGAGGGGGAGGGGTCGGTGCAGCTGGACTGCTGGGGGGGCGGGCAGGGAATCGGCGAGCCCGGCTCAGACCGCGCGCCCCAGCGCCGTTCCCAGCGCGCGCGCCAGCAGCTCCTCGGGGCATCTCTGTGGTCCAGCGTCGAGCGCTCCCGGGCTCCGCAAGGCAGACGCCTCAGAGGAGCAAGCAGCCCCGGGGGTGCGGGCGGAGGTAGCAGGGACGCCGAGGCTGGTTCCCCCGCGAACCCGCCGTCTCAGTCCTGCGACTCCTGGGCCCGGGAGGTGTCCCCTCTCCCACGCGTCGGAGGCCCTGGGATGCGGCGGGACTCCCGGCGGGTGAAAAGTCGGTATCCGCCGCCGGCCGCGCGCCACCGCCAGGCTGTCGGGTCCGCGGGCGGGGACGGGGGGCGAGGCCGGGGCTGGTCCTCCGCCCACCCGGGGCGGTGCGGGGGCGGAGCCAGGGCGGGCGGGCGCCCCCGACGGCGGGAGGGGCGGGGCGGGCCAGAGACACCATAAGAGCCGGGAGGCCGCGACCGCCCAGCGCAGCGGGAAGGGAGCGGGCCGGAGGTTTTGCGGCCGCTGGCGGCGGGACCCCAGCGCAGAGGTGAGGCCGGGGCGGGTAGGTGAGCGAGAGCACGGCGAGCCGCGCCGGCACATCTTCGGGGCGCGCCGCTCCCTCCGCGGACACCAAGTCTGTGGCCCAGAGGCGCCAGGCTGGGGCGGGCACCGTCCGGGGCACCGCGTTTCCAAAAGTCGCTGGCAGGGCAGCGCGCCCCGACAATGCCACTCACGGTCTTGGGGAGGCCGGTGGCCGAGAGGTGTGTGCGCGGGAAGGGGTGAGGGACTGATCGCGCCCCGGTGAGCCCTGGCCCCGTCCTGCGGGCCGAGCGCCTGGTCTTCTGGTCCCGTGGCCGCCCTGCGCTCTGGGCGGCGCGGGAAGGGGCGGTCGTCGCTGGGGTCCCCAGGGCGCCAGTTCCGGGGGTCGATCGGCCTTTGTGGCGGATTCCTCCCTGCTGAGCCACGCCGCACGGTGAGGCGGACCGTGGGGTGAATTTCATCCTGCAGGTGTTTGTCCGATCGCTAAGACGGGGTGCGGTCGGGAGACGCCGCGTGTGCGCGCCCGGGCTGGCTGCAGGGAAGGAGCGGAGCGGGCTAGTTCGTCAGCCGCCTCTGTTTCTCCTTCTGGGCCCAGAAGGAAGCTTTCTGAGACCTTTTGCTTTCTGTACCCAAACCTGACCCCGGAGGCCATGGTTTCAGGAGTTAGGTTGGCTCACCACCAATCCCAGTGTCCGCTTCCCTGGCAGGGGATGACTGGGCTCCCATCCCAGTGAAAGGCTCCCCATGCGCGCAGCTCCAGCCCACTCTGGAGGCGAAGGGGCCGCAGGGAAGCAGTGGGTAAAATCACTTCTATGGTGAGTCGTTCAAATTCGGATGCAGAGGAAAATGACCCCAGTAGAGCTGCCGTCCCATTATTTTTTTCCTTCAGCCAGGCTGTGTGTGTGGGAGGGGGTGTGTGCATGCGTTTGTGGGGGTGTGTGTGCTCGCGCACGCGCGTGTGTTTGCAGCTGAGGCGTGCTGATGGGTCTGAATACTGGAGGTGCTATTTCAAGCTCTCTCGGCCGTGTCCACATGTAACTGCTCTCCTGGACTGTGTTCCACGCGGCTTTATGAAGGTGCCCGGAAGCAATTCCTTGGTAGAGTTACTACCTACAGGAACTCATCTGCCCCCAAGTAAAGCCGGCCAGTGCTCTGCTGTGCCCGCCTCCTCCAGGCAGGCACAGCCTCCCCGGGGCCACGGGAGTGCACCCTGCGGGCATTCCTGAAAGAAGCTGTTGGAATCGCTGTCTTTAAACTTGCATCGTTGCGGCTGATTTTGGTTATAAGGGTTTGCTCTCTCTTTTACTGCTGTGTGTGAGAAATACATATGCACTGTTGTAAAGACTTTTTTTAAAAGATTTTATTTATTTATTTCAGAGACAGAAGAGAGCACAGCAGGTGGGGTGGGGTGGGGGGAGGGCAGAAGCAGTCTCCCCGCTGAGCAGGGAGCCGGACTCAACGTGGGTCTCGATCCCAGGACCCTGAGATCATGACCTGAGCAGAAGGCAGACACTGGACCGACTGAGGCACCCGGGTGCCCCAAAAGACTTACATTTGGGTGCTAGGTGAAGATTGCGAAATTAATCCCTGGCCCTGTGGGGAGGGTGGAGGTGACATTCGGCATCGGTACTCGGAGCAGAACCAGAGGGTCTACAGCTTTGCACTGTAATTGGCACAGAGAGGGCTGCCAGGGAAAGAGGGAGCAAGGTGGTATCTGTTGTGAGGTTTCAGGACCCACCCCCGCCCCGGCCCCCACGAGATCTAGCCCGTGTCCTGCTGTCCTCAACCTTGGCTCTGTCAGTCTAGCTGCTTGGAATGGATTCTGCCCCCAAAGACATGGAGAGAGTTGCCCCCGAGCGCTGCTTGTGCCACGGTGGTTCTGGCTCCTAAACCGTCGCGGTTCTGTGTGTGCTTCTTTTCCCGCTGCAGGCCCCGAGCACGGAGTCTGAGGCTCCCGTCCGCCCATGAGCGAAAACAAGCGCCCGGTGGCACCGATGTCTTCCGTCGCGGCCCCTGCTAAGGAACCCAACGCCATGGGCCCCAAGGCGGTGGAACTTGTCCTGGTCAAGGAGCAAAATGGGGTGCAGCTCACAAACTCCACCCTCGCCAACCCCACGCAGACGCCCCTGGGGACCCAAGAACGGGAGACCTGGAGCAAGAAAATCGACTTCCTCCTGTCTGTGATCGGCTTTGCGGTGGACCTGGCCAACGTCTGGCGGTTTCCCTACCTGTGCTACAAAAACGGCGGCGGTGAGTCCCGGGCGGGCTGGGGGGCCGCGGCTCCTGAGTGCACCCAGGCAGGGCCTGCATTTGGGGCGGGGGACGCGCAGACGGTAGGAGCAGAGGGCCCGGCAGCCTCCTGCGGGACCTGCCCTCCCTAGCTGGGTCGCTGAGCCCAGGAGGAGGTGGTGGGAGGCACCAGGGCTCTGCCTTCCGTTTCCAAAGATGACTTTTGCTCTGGAAAGAAAGTCCTCGAACACCCTCAGTCTTGGGCCGACTTCAGTCCGTGTTGTGGTGTTGTGGGCGTGCACAGAGGCCCTCGACTTTGGAGCAGAGCCCTCACCCCGCTTCCCAAACGCGCTCCGGGCTCGAGGCAGAAGAGGAAAACAAGTGACAGCTTTGCCCACAAGTTGAAGCCAGTTCAGCGGGTGCTCGCTCCCCTGTGGGCTCTGGTGGCCCATCAGTCCCTCGAGGCTTCGGAGGAGGGTCTGGAGGAGCCCCCCCGGGAGGGCCTTCTAGCACACCCGCCCTGAGGGGGCAGCAAGAGGCCTGAGCAGAATGGCGGGGCCTCCCTGCCTCCCCCTCCCCATCCCAGGAAGGGAGGCGCGGCAAAGACCCCTCACCTGACGCAGAGCCGTGGGGCCCTGGATTCGTGCTTGGGGCAAGTGCAGCTCCAGGAGGACGGGGCGGCACGCTGGGCGGACTCCGGCTCCTCCAGCTCCCCTGTCCACTGTAGCCCCGGACCGAGGTGGACGCTGAAGACAGGGAAATGGGGAAGGGTGGCACAACCTCCATAGGGTCAGACTTGGACCTCAGAGCCCAGAGGACTGACCCCTCAAGAGGGGCAGAGGCCAAGGTGTGCGGGCCAGGCGGGGTGGGCAGCCCCAGGAGCCAAGCTGTTGGGGGGGCCTGCCCTGCTCCGAGGCTGATCTCATGACTTGGCACAAGGGGTGGTTGGGGTTCAGCAGGGACGTGTCAGAGCGCTGATGATGGGGGCGCCCAGGCGTGGTGGTCAGAGGCTGCCCCACACAGCCCGGGACTTACCTTTGGAGGGCGACCGTGCAGGGAGCTTCCAGAGAAGCAGACGGTCGTGCCCAAGACATGGCAGTGGGAGGGTCTCACTCTGGTGATCACAGGTGGCCTCCCCCAGCCCCCGGGCTGAGCCAGCTGTCCTATCCACAGGCGCCTTCCTGGTCCCCTATCTGCTCTTCATGGTCATTGCCGGAATGCCCCTTTTCTACATGGAGCTGGCCCTGGGGCAGTTCAACAGGGAGGGGGCTGCTGGCGTCTGGAAGATCTGCCCCGTCCTGAAAGGTAACGGCCCTCACACCCTCTTGTGGCACAGGCTGCGTTGGCTCAGGGCTCCCAGAGCGAGCCCCCTACCTGGTGTGTGTGCTCGGTCCTGCTCTGCTAGGTCTCTATGCCCCTCAATGTCCATGTCCCTGACTCTGTCTCTCTCCATCTCTGTCTCTCTGTGTGTGTCTCTCTCTCTGTCTCTGTCTCTGTGTCTCTCTCTGTGTCTGTGTCTCTCCCTGTCTCTCTCCCCATCTCTCTCTGTCTCCCTGTTTCTGTCCCTCTCCTCCCCATACAAGTGCATGAGCTCAGACCCATTTCCATTTGGGTCCTACTGTAGGAGGCCAAGCTGACGGAGGCCTTGGGACCATGTGCCCCTGCTGTCCAGTGAGGCCGGCCTGCTAGTCGCTAGTGGTGCTGTCGTTGTTAGTGAGGCAGATAGGCCAACCCTCCGTCCGTCTGTCAGTCTGTCCTCTGTGCTCCCCCGCGCATCTGTCGCTGTCTGTCCGGCTGCCGCAGGAACGCCGCAGGCTGGGTGGTCTAACCAGGGAACATTTGTTGTCTCGCGTGACCAGAGGCTAGAGATGCAAAATCCAGGTGTGTTGGTAAGACCGATTCCCTCGGAGGGCTGGGGCACAGGCTCCGTTCCAGACCTTTCCTCTGCACGCGTCTCTGGAACCAGATGTCCGTGTCCTCTAAGGACACCCGTCACCCTGGACAAGGGCACGTCCCGACACCCGCACCTTAGCTTGCCCAGCTGTGCGGAGACCTGCCTCCCCGCGAGGTTGCACCAGGCAGTACCGGGCTTTGGCTTCAGCAGACAAGCTTTGGAGGGACGCGGTGCCAGCCACGGTGCTCTCTGTCTGTCTGTCCTCTCTGGATCCATCCAGCTCCCTGTCACCTGCAGGGCATCAGCTGTCTGTGACCACAGCGGTCGTGCATGTCCATGTGTCGGGTGTCCACCTGTCGTCCATCCCTCCGTCCACCACCGTCTGTCTGTATCTGCGGTCATCTGTCCGTCTGCCATACCGACTAGGCCTCTGCTCTCTGGGGGCTTCCGAGCGGCAGGCCAGCTCTCTGGGTACTCACCGAGCCCGCCGTCTGCCTCTACGAAGTCGCGGCACCAGGAAGCAGACACACGTCTGTTGAGCCAAGGGGCTGCCCCGTGGCCGGCCGTTCCATGGTCACCTCACCCCACCCTTGTGGGAGCCCCAGGGAGGACCCACACCGCGTTGTCCCCATTCTGGACGTCCGGGCACTGAGGGTTAGTGGGCTTGAGGGTCTCGCCCTGTCCCTCGTCAGGGGCAGGGGGCACGGGCTCCAACCCGTCTCAAGCCCCACATCCACCTCCGGAGTGCACCGGCCCACCAAGCCACGCTGCCTCGCAGGAGCCCATGGCTCAGGGAGGCCTGGTGGGGGAGACCCGGGATGTGGCGTGGTCCCCACCCCCAGCTTCACGAGGAAACTTCCTGTAAGATGGGTCGTGGCGGTTCCTCCGAAGCCGGAAAGTCAGTGTGTTTGCAGCGGGCGGAAGCCCTCCCGGTCTCCGAGGACGCGCGGGGCGGGTGGGTGAGTCGAGGTCAGAGAGGGCAGCCGTCGGCTCACGGAGGCTATGCCCGGGCTGGGGCTCCCCGGGGCTCCCCCACCGCAGCCGCTGAGACCGGCCGTGAGGCCCCTCCCGCGCCCCGCGCCTCCTCCGAGCGGCCGCTCGCCCACCCGGCCCCGGCCGCCTTTCCCTCAGCGCGCGGCCCCGAGTCGGAGCCAGGCGCGGCCTCCCCGCCTCCGCGCCACTCGCGTCTCCGGAGCGGGGCCGGCCGACCCCGTCCGCGTGCCGGGCCCGGGCGTCCCTCTCGCGGGGTCACTCGCGGAGGTCGAACTTAAATGAGGTGCCTACGTCAGCCTCGTCCTCCGCAAACCCCCGCCGGAGGGACGCGACAGGAAACGGCAGGCCACGGGCCCAGGGGACGGCATGCGGGGGACCCCCGCCCCGGTCGCCCGAGCCTGTGGGGGCTCGGCGCCCTCCCCGCAGAGGCATTTCCATCCAGAGCGAGGTGAAGTGCGCCATCCTCGGGTGACCCCCTGGGGACGCGTGGGGGAACGCTGGCCCCTGCTGCCGCGCGCACTGCGGCCGTGGCGTCTGCTTCCGTGGGCTTCCAGGCTTCTCCCGGACCCGAGCCTGCACCCCCCCACCCGGAGCGAATCCTCTTTCCTGAGCGCCCGCGGCCAGCGTCGGCTCTTCAGAAACTGACCCCGTGCCATAGGGCCACGTCCACGCTCCACACGGCCCGAAAGCTTTGTCCAGTTGTGGAAACCTGTCCGCATGGAGGGCTGTGCCCCAGCCCGCATGGCCCCTGTGGGTGGACTCTCTCTCTCCCTGTCTCTCGCTATCTCTCTTCCCCTCTGCCTCTCTCTCCCTCTATCTGTCTCTCCCTGTCTGTCTCCCTATCTCTCCCTCTCTCTCTCCCTATCTGTGTGTCTCTCCCTATCTCTCCTTATCTGCTCTCTCTTGCTGTCTCCCTGTCTCTGTGCCTCTCCTCCCGCACGGGCGCACGCGCGCAGACCCAGCAGAGGCTAAGGACGCCCGGTCCGATGGGAGGGGTCTGTGCGTTCCTCACCGTGACACGCAGTGACCCTTGTCGGGAAGGCCAGGCTGCTCCGTGAGGACCATCTTTCGTGGCGGGCGTCCCTGACGTGCTCCTGAAGCCGGTGTCCATGCTGCTGCTCATGTGACCCGGCTCTGGTGGGTGGTGGGGAGGGACAGGGTGGCCACACCTGCGAGGCCCGAGTGCCTGCTTTCCCAGGACGCCCCCTCTCTGTGTCCCATGCAGACCCTAACGTGTGACGTGGAAACCCGGCCACCCTGTTTGTTTGTTTAAGATTGTATTTACTTATTTGACAGAGAGAGAGAGATATCAAGTAGGCAGAGAGGCAGGCTCGGGGTGGAGGGGAAGAAGGCTCCCCGCTGAGCAGGGAGCCCGATGCGGGGCTCGATCCCAAGACCCCAGGATCATGACTTGAGCCGAAGGCAGAGGCTTTAACCCAATGAGCCACCCAGGCGCCCCGCCACCCTGTTTTATGAATGTAAAATAAGGATGATATTTTGTACTCAACAGCATTTTAATGTGAAATATCAAGCTCCTCTTTCTAAAAAGAATTTAAAGTGGCTTAAAATGAGACAAAATACACCCAGTTTAATGGAAGGGTTAAATGTTCTAAAGTTAATGTAAAGAAATACTAAGGAAAACAGAAACTGGGGAACTGATGATGAGACCTACGACCGGAGCTCACGCGTGGGCCCAGGCTCCGCCGGAGTCTGGCAGGAGCAGGCCATATGGGAACGCAGGAGAGGGCTGAGCCCGCTACTCTGGGGTGGCGGGTCACTGTCCCGAGCCGGCCTGTGATGAACGACACGTCAGGGGAGCTCGTGAGGCTCTGTCTGCCCCACTCACGGCCGCTGTCCTGGGCAGCCATGCCCTTCCCGCTGACGCATGGGCCCCTGGGGGCAGCGGCTAGTGGGCAGGAGCCTCTGGTGCGAGGCAACCAGGGGCGAGCCCCTGTGTTCTCGGGGGCGACTTCGTCTCCCTGGAGTGAAGGTCAAGAAACCTGGCCAGTGCAGAGGGAGGGCCGTGCACTCAGCGCGGGGCTTAGCTCTTGGGTCACACAGTGGACTCCAATCTGCTCTGCTGTTGGTTCACAGCTGCTTTGAGTTTCCCACGTTCAAGCTGAGGTCTTGCACACAAACTTTAAACCTTAAAACGATTTCAAGTCAGGCATCCACGGTCGGGCGCTGCCCGAGAAAACCTTACGTGATTGCTCTTCCCAACAACACGGCTCCCGGGAACACGGCTGCCTGACACCACGGCTCCCTGATGGCACGGCTCCCAGGAACACGGCTGCCTGGGTGGGTTTGCTGTGAATCACAACCGAGCCTCTGTCCTCAGGAACTCAGGGAGCAGAATGGCAACGTCACGTTATTCAGAGCTGACCACTGCCACTCCGAGAGGCCCTTGCAAAGAAAACTGCTCTTTTCATCATCACGGCTTACGACACACGTTTTCCAAGAGGGTTTACGTACCAGAACTGTCTCCTTTCTAGCACGTTCCTGATGCAGGATCTGTCTGATGGATACGCACAAGTAAATGTCAGGCTTCTCTTTTTGATTCCAGGGTAGGGAGAGATCTGTAATGATGCCCTGAGCATGAGGATTGCTTCTCCTCAGGGGGACATCCAGGAAAGACACCTAAGCCACTTCCTATAAACATTACCTTGAAGGCGTGCTCCTCCCCTAGCTACGGCCTCAGCCACGAGCGAGCAAGACCGGGCAGAGCACCTAACCAGGCTTTAAAGGAGCAAATCAACGCTCCAGGCCAGTCAAGTTGTGTCCGCAAAGCCGCAAAGGAAGTTGAAATGGAAAGAGCTGCCCGTGGAGCCTGGTGGAGCCCCAGAGCGGGGAATGGAGTGGAGCTTACCTAGCACTGAGCAAGAGGGCTCCTGGCCAGTGGGAGGAGGCCAGACCCACCTGCCACCAGGCAGGATGGCACAGCCCCAAGGAGTACTTGCCACTCTGCCCTAGTTCCCAGGGAGCCAGGAGCCCCTCAATGACTGATCCCAAATCCCAGGTTTTGTGATCCTGGAAAGGTCGCCATGCAAGGCCCTGGCTTGCTTTAGGAGACTGAATGGTCACGGCCCCCGGTGATTATCCCTAGATTATCAGGAATGGCCCCGGCTGACCGCGGATGGTTATGTATGGCCCTGGGTGACCCTGAACAGTCATGCATGCTTTGGGTGACTCTGGACAGTCATATATGGTCCCGGTCGTGCATGGCCCTGGGTGACCCTGGACGGTCATGCATGGTCCCAGCTAATCCTGGATGGTCATGCATGGCCCCAGCTGACTCTGGACTGTCATATATGGCTCTGGGTGACCCTGAGTGGTCAGGGATGGCTCTGTGTGACTTTAGGTGGCTCTGGGTAGCTGTGAAATGAACCCTGATGACTGTTTGCCCTGGGTAGTCTTGAGGGGGTATGAGCAGCCATGAGTGTCCATAAATGTCTCTGAATGGCTCTGGGTAGCTGTCGGTGGCCATTGAGGACCTGTGTTTCTAAGGACCATTGGTGGCCCTGGATGGCTCTGGGAGATCTGGGTCTTCCTTGGTGGCTCTGGATGTCCCTGAGTGACCCTGAATGGTTTGGGGTGATCTTTGCTGACTCTTGGTGGCCATAGATGATTCTGATGGTTTTGCATGGCCTGGTGGCCCTGGATGACCTCGGTTGTTGCCGAGTGGCTGTGAGTGGTGGTGGACGGCCACATATGGCCGTTAGTCACCCTGTATGTCTGTGGGTGACCTGGTTCTACCAGGGTGACCCTAGATGATCTGTGTGCACACAGATGGCCATGGTAGGTTTGGGGGTTGGGGTGCAGCCCCTTGTCTGGGATCACAGCATGAAGTCTGGCACCCTTGCTCTCACGAGCGGTCTCTGGGTGTGCAGAGACATGGCCCAGTTTCTGGTGCAGGAGCACAGCCAGCACGGCTGAAGGAGGGTGGGCGGGCACCTTGCTGACGGCTCTCTGCTCTCCTGCCCCAGGCGTGGGCTTCACGGTCATCCTCATCTCGCTGTACGTTGGCTTCTTCTACAACGTCATCATCGCCTGGGCGCTGCACTACTTCTTCTCGTCCTTCTCCGTGGACCTGCCGTGGGTCCACTGTAACAACACGTGGAACAGCCCCAACTGCTCGGATGCCCACGCCGGCAACTCCAGCTCCGGCCCCAATGACACCTTCAGGACCACGCCTGCCACCGAGTATTTCGAGTGAGTGGGGGACCGGGGCCGCGGTACTCACTGTGCTTGGCGGCCCCGGGAAGGAAGGGACACAGGGCAGAGCAGCGCTCCCCCTGCTGCCCCGCAAGGGTGCGGTGAGGACCCCTGTCCCCCTGTCCCCCTGTCCCCCTGTCCCCCTGTCCCGTGTCCGCACTGCAGTCCTCTGGGCTCTTGGAGGCACGTTCCCAAATCCCGCTTCCAGCGGCCCGGAGGCACCCTTGGAGGGGGACACCTCGGTGCCAGGGGAAGGCAGAACAGGCCACGGCTGCTCGGTCCCATGGGTGCTGCTATGTGCCTGGCAGGGGGCTGGCCAGAGGCTGCCTGTGGCAGGAAGGCGAGCCCACCCGGCGTCCGCAGGGCCGCCTCCAGCGTGGGCCCGGGCTCAGCCACACTGTCCTCCCACCTGGGCCCTGCACACAGAAAACACCCTCCAACCTTGCCAAACGGACCTGCCCTATAGGGGGTCCCACTGTTGCTTTTCCTGACAAGTTCCTCTTTCTTTACAAACCAGCACCGGTTCCTGCCCTAGTCCCTCCTCGGCCCCCACATCCAGGGGCCTTCCTGGTGCCCTCCCGTCCCCCGCACTCCACACCACGTGGCCTCCATGATCTGCTGGGTGCGTGGCTCTCCCCAAGTCCGTTCTTCTCTGGGTCCTCTCGGAACCGGCTCCTGCCCCCCTCCCCTTGTCCCCATCTAGGTGACTGAGGCTAGAAGAGCTGTTGATGCCCCTGTGGGTGCATCGTTTCCCCTCAGAATCCAGACACTTGCCAAGGAGCCCTCCTGAAACGATGCTGAACGCGGCTGTCACAGCGTCTGGCAATGCGCTGCCAGCAGGGGGTTCGGTGTTGGGTGGTGGGTGTTCACGGGACCTGCAGACACTCAGCACCTGGAATGACGCTATGTTTCAGACTCTGAGAATCTGAATGCTTTGTTCCGGAATTCTGTGCCCTGTGTGGGCACCGTATCTCCATGGTGGAAAGTGGCATCAAGGGGCAGGAACATGGGAGGCAGGTTTGCCAGGTCTGGAGGTGCGGCCGGGAGCACAGGTGGTTTCCTTGAGTCGTGGTCAGAAAGAGTGTGGCCAGGGCAGGGTGATGGTCACATGCCACAGGACGTGCTGGTGTGTTTAGGAAGATGTTATTGTTGGTTTGGGACTGGAGGAGAGTGCATGTGTGCGAGGGACAGGGAAGGGAAAGGGAGGGGCCTCGAGCCAGACGGAGCGCTCGGGAGGGACAGGCTGGTTTCAGAGGCCAGCGGAGCCCGCCTGCCATCTGTCCCTCTCAATTTGCCTGAAAGACAGCAGCTGCGAGAAACGGAGATGCAGGGAAGCTTTCAAGGGTGTGGGTGGGAATCTTGCTCTGCTGAGCAGGTGAGAATGGTCCAGAGGAAGAGAAAGTTGTTTGCTCTTCTTGGTGAAAAACACTGCACTGCTGTTGACCAGATGTAACGGTGTCTCCTTGCCAGATTGTGCCCGGGCTGCACTCAGCCTGCCGTGATCAGAGGGAAGGGGTCTGCGGGAACCCTCTGTCCCAGAAAGTGGAGAGGCAGACACAGTGGTGGATAAGCACCTGGGGGTCCGTGCTCAGGGCCCCTGCACCAAGGGGAACTTAGAGGTGCTCAGGGCTGTCTCGGGTTCACTCCGTCATTACACCAACAAAATGAGGACTCAGGTTTCCAGCTAGGACGTCTCTTACAAGTCTGAGATGAAAAGCTGGCAGAGAGGTTGAAAGGCACCATGTGACACCACTGGGACTACCTGTCTTTGTTTGGAGGTCTGGAAAGGATTCCACCGAGACTGCAGAGTGAAGCACGATGTCACTGCTACTTTCGTTACATCTTACCCAAGAAAGTGGGGCCTTTGGTGTTTGCCCCAGAAGTGCTGTCCTCAGCCCCAGCACCTGCCCACACCCCCAACTTCAGTCCCTAGTGGGCATGCACAAGGAGACATGGCAGGCTCAGAGCCAAAACCAGAGGCTCATGGCTGTAGCTCCAGGGCTGAGAGATGGTGCAGGATGGATGTGAAGTCTGAGTCAGGACAGGGCCTGTGGGCTTGGAAACCCCAAAACAGGCCATGTAACTCCAACCAGTTCAAATGTCCCCCAGTTCTATAGACACTTAGCACACCTTCACCTACTTTCTACTGTAAACTAGAAAGCTACACGTTTGCCTCCAAGAGACAGCTTTAGCTGCCTCCGCAAAGCTCCATGTGCTGTGTTTCCACTCCATTCAATTCAAGATACTCTCTGATCTGCCTTGTGATTCCCTCTTTGACTCATGGGAGACTTGGGGAGCTTCCCATTTAATTTTGAAATCTTTGGAGGTTTTCTAGATATGCTTCTATTATTGATTCCTGATTTAATTCAGACTGAGTGACATACTCTTCTTGTAAAGCTTCATTATCCCAAAAACATCCTGAGACCTTTGGTGCCCAGTCTGTGTTTAATCCTGGGGGGTATGGCAGGCGCACTTACAAAGAACAGGTGTTCTGCTGTCACGGGGAAGTAGCTGCACTGTGTGCAGGATGGTGGGAGCACCTTACTGTCCACTGTCCCCCCCGCTGCTGAGAAGGAGTATTGACTCAACTGTGATTGTGCATCTGCCTCTCTGTCTTCCCGATTCTATCAGTTGACTTCATTCATGCATGTTGGGGTGGTGTTACAGAGTGTGTGTGTGTTTACGGATAGCAAGTCTTTGAATGGACCCCTTTGCAGTTCCAGGTGTCGCTCCTGGTCACATTCCTCACCCTGAAACTGCTCTGCCTGGCAGCAGTGATCACCCTTGTCTCCCAGTGGATCGTGTTTGCATTGGTACCTTTCCTGTCCTTGTGTTTTTAACCCATGTGGGTTGTATCGTGAGAGCACTTCCTGTAGACCGTGTAGAGCTGTCCCTGCTTTTTCATCCAGCAAAACAATGTCTAGTTCTTAGGGTTCCCAGTCAATAGTTAACCCGATGGTTGGATTTAAGTCTTTTATCTTTATTTTTTTTTCTATTTGTCCCATCTCTTTGTTTCTTGTCCCTCCAGGTATCCCCCTCTTTTGAATTAATTAATTTTTAGGCTCCCATTTTAGCTATGCTATTGGCTAATAAGCTTTATTGTAACTTTTGTGGTCATTTATAGGGTTTACAACGTACATCTTTAATTTCTCATTGTCTACTGTCAGATGACATCATCCCACTTCTCATGTAATTTAGGAGCCTTACAACACACTCCCATTTTCCCAGCCCGTCCCTGGCTGGGTTTTCTTCCTCCAGGATGTTATAACCTCCATGCTATGTTGCTCCTCTTCTTGCTTTAAATAGGTACATTTTAAATAAATTTGGAATAGAAGAATAACTTGTGTATTTACCTGCATAGTTGCTATTTCTGATGATCTCCCATCCTTACGTGGCTTCATTTCCTTCCATCTGAAGAATTTCCTTTAACACGCCTTACAGCGTAGGCTTGCTGGCAACGAATTTTCTCTGCTTTAGTTTTCCTGAAACATATTTTGCTTTCATTTGGGGGAATTTCTTTAAATTGTGATAAACTATACACAACATGAAACGTATCATTTGGACCGTTTTTAAGTGTGTTCAGCGGCACTAAGCACACTCACAGTGCTGTGCAGCCGTCACCACCATCCGTCTCCAGGACTTTCTCATGCTCCCAGACGGAAGCTCTGCTCCCATGCAGCACTGACTCCCTCTCCGCCCCTTCCAAGCCTGGCCCCCGGCACCCAATGTCCTACTCTCTGACTCAATGAGTTTCACAACCTAAGGACTTCATATAAGAGCAGTCGTCCAGCCTCTGTCCTCTGTGTCTGCTTATGTCACTGAGCATGACACCCTCCAGGCCCCTCCATGCTGTAGCAGGTCTGTTTTCTTCCTTTCGAGGCTGAACGATATTCCACGTCCGGACGGACATTTTGTTCATCTGTCCCTGGACACGGGCTGTTTCGGTATCTTGGTGTGGTAAATTGTGCCGCAGTGAGTGTGGGGGGTACAAATGTGTGTTCAAGTTAGTGTTTTCATTTTCTTCAGATAAATACCTAGAAGTGGGATTGCTGGATCATGGGGCAGTTCTATTTTTAATTTTTAGAGGAAATTCCATACTGTTTTCCAGGGTGGCTGCACCAGTGTGCATTCCCAGCAACTGTGCATGGAGGCCTCTTTTCTCCACCTTGCTGCTAACACATGTCATTTCTTGACTTTCTTATAAAAACTGTCCTGACAGGTGTGAGATGCTAACTCACTGCGGTTTGAGGTGCGTTTACTGGGCAGTGAGGGGCGTCGAGCCTCTCTCCCTGTGTCTGTTGGCCAGCTGGATGTCTTCTCTGGAGAAATGTCTGTTCAGATCTGCCCCCTTTTTTTTTTTTTAATCAGATTGTTTGTTTTCTGCTGTTGAGTTGTATGTGTTTCTCGTATATTTTGGGTACTAACCTCCTACGAAATACGTGACTTGCTGGTGTTTCCTTCCATCAGCAGGCCAACTTCATCTGGGTGGTGGCTCCCCTCCCCGTGCAGAAGCTTCCCGGTCAGATGCACCTGCTTTGTCTGTCTTCAAGCTGAGCTTTCTGGAGCGGTTTTCTGTTCGAGAGTCTTAACTCTTTATCTATCCTGGATATTTGTCTCATGTCTGATGTATGATATGGAAATATTTTCTCTCATTCTGTGAGTTTCCTCTTTACTCTGCTGATAGTGTCTTTGATGCACAAAAGGTTTTTTATTTTGATGAACTCAATTTACCTGTTTTGTCATATCAGAAAATCCATTGAGAAACCCAAGGTCACAAAGGTTTACCCCTACTGTTTCTTCCGAGAACCTGCAATTTTAAGTTTTTAAGTTTAAGTTTTAAGTTTAAGTCCTCTGCCCATTCTGAGTTAATCTGTGTCATTCCCGCTCTGTGCCGGTGGCTGTCTGTAGGCCCTGGGGGCGGTCCCCAGGCAGGGTCGGTATATGCTGGCTCCCGCGCCGCGCCAGTGGCCCTCTGCAGCATCCTGTCCCCTAAACTGTCTGAGGAGGTTCAAGGAAGTTCAGAGCCAGATGAGTTTTCGTCTTTGGGAGGGAATTGAACCTGTACAGACACGTTGGTTCTAGAGTTGATCTGAAGTGTTTACAAGTGAACCCAGCATGTGTGGGGTTGTGGAGCCTGAGCAAACCCCCCCGGCTAGGAGGCTACACGGGCCACCGGGCTCCTTTCCTGGACAAATGAGTAAATGGCCACCTGCCTCCAGGCCGAGGTGTGTGACCCACATGCATGTGTGGGGGCCTTGTGAGGAGGCCAAGGTGTGACGGGGCTTTCGGGCATGTGGCCTCACCCAGCACTGTCATTCTGAGGAGATTTCTGTTAGTGACAGGAGGCTGGGGACAAGGTCTGGCTAGGGAACCAGGACATGGAAGGGGGAGGGCCCTGACACAGAGACGGGGCTTGGAGGCTTTGGGAAGTCTCCTGCCAGGGGAGGGCCCAGGGAGGACAGGCGCGGGGAGGACAGACCCCTGAGGAGGACAGACCCTGGGGAGGACAGATCCGGGGAGGACAAGCCCTTGGAGGACAGACCCAAAGAGGACAGGCCATGGGGAACAGGCCCAGGGAGGACAGGACCAGGGGTGGTGAAGCCCTGGGGAGGACAGTCAAGGCACAGCCGCCTGAGTGTTGTCCCAGCAGGGGCCTCCTCCTCCTCCTGCCCTGGGAGCTCCAGGTCCCTGACCTCACACCACATGTGTAACACACAGCACATGTGTGTGTCTAGTGGGGGCAGGGGCTCGCGTCACCTCGGGGGGTGGCCCGCACTCTAGAAAGGAGAGAGGTTGATGTGACAGTCTGGACAGTGCTGGGCAGCTGGGAGTGCCATGGGCTCTGTTCACGCCCCTCACCGCCGCCCCTGCCACAAGCCTGATTCCGGAGTCTGAAAACCCGAATCCCTCCACATGGTCCCGTGATGCCTAGAGCCAGTGGGAAGCTCTGGGATCTGGAGCTTTCTGACCTGGGTGTCCGGATTATTTTCTTTACCTCACAAACCTGGGCAGTGATGGCTCCTATCCTAATGGGGCCTGTCCACCTCCTGGAGCAGCACAACCTGGCATCAGCTTCGATTCAGAATCCCAACTGCGAAGGTGAGGCAGCAGGTGCACGACCCACGTGACGGTCCCACCACCGGTCCCGCAGGTGGTCGGTGGGTCCGAGGGGACGCCGTGTGGGGAGGCGCCCAGGTCCCTGCAGGTGGTTGCAGGGACCCCCGGGGATACTGGCGCGCAGGCCGTGCTCCACCAGCCCGCAGTCCCGCTCTGTCTTCACGGCCTCATGTTCTGTCTTCATGATGGATCCCCTCCCGGAGGCGGGTCTTGAGCGAGCCCAGAGCAGAGTAATCCTGAGTCTGTTACCTGCGGACCCTCCTCGAGGCCGCGGGAGCCGGGAGCCAGCGCCGTCAGCTCTTCGCCTCAGAGGCATCTGCATGTCCTGCGTTACTGCTCCGAGTCCGCTCAGCCTCAGCCCTGCACATGGGACCCTGGCCCACCCCACGGTGTCCGCACCCCTGGGCACCTTGCATCCGGTCCCTGAAGCTCCTTTCCTTCGGATCGGAAGCACCCATTCCTCTCCCAGCTCCAAAATTCAGGGGTGCTAAGGGTGAGAGGTGAGGGCTGGGCTGCTGTGGGCTCCCTCGAGCGCACAGACCCCACCTCTCAGCTGGGGCCGGTGGGCCTGACCCTCCGGAGTGGGGGTCTCCGGTCCCATCAGGCTGGGGCACACTTCTTCGTGTTTTGGCAGAGGTGGGGGAGGAAAGGGCTCTGGGCAAACTCAGCTCTCCGGTTCCAGTTCTGGGTGGTGGGGGGCCGCTCGTGACAGACCCGCCTCTCCCACCCTCTCCTCCGCAGGCGCGGCGTGCTGCACCTCCACGAGAGCCGTGGCATTGATGACCTGGGTCCCCCGCGGTGGCAGCTCACGTCCTGCCTGGTGCTGGTCATCGTCCTGCTCTACTTCAGCTTGTGGAAGGGAGTGAAGACCTCTGGGAAGGTGAGGCTGCGGGCCATGCCAGCTGCGGAGTGGGCCGGGGGCCGTGGTAGGTTGGGGAGTGGAGAGTTGGGCTGTGGTAGGTTGGGGAGCAACCATTGGCCGTGGTTAATGATGGTGTCAAGGGAAGGCACTCACAGCAGGGTGTTTCCAGCATGACCACAAGCACAACATAAATAGTTTTTTACTGATAAAAATATTTTGGTTTTTATCTGGGCACCCAAAGCAATTTTGACCAAAATGTGCCCATTGCTTGCTATATCCGGGTAGTGACGGGCCGACACCCAGAGCCTCAGTAAGGACAGGCTACTCCCTGCCCCCAGCCCAGGGCCCACCGTTTACACACCACATGAGTGTGTATTTGCACTCTCAAAATTCAGTGCGTCTCACTCCTCAGGAACTCAGCAGCCCCCTCCCCGCCCACTGCTGCAGACCAAATGCAGAAGAAGAATGTCCCTTCTTTGCCAGATTATCTGTCCCATTTCAGTCCTAGGAAAGTTTCGGGATGGAGGGCGGCAACGCCCTCTGCAGGGACCTTTGCTGAGCCAGCACCCTGCAAATGTGTGGGATTATGGGCTTCCCAGCAAAAGGCCACCCACCAGGGTGACCCTGAGGCCGCCCTGCCAGCAGGTGGCTGGTGCCACCTGATGACGCTGTGCTCTCCTAGGTTGTGTGGGTCACGGCCACCATGCCGTACGTGGTCCTCTTCGCCCTGCTTCTGCGAGGAATCACTCTCCCTGGGGCCATCGATGGCATCAGAGCGTACCTGAGCGTAGACTTCCGTCGGCTCTGCGAGTCTTCTGTGAGTACGCCCTCCGCTCGCGGCCCGCCGGGCCACACGCACGGGCAGGCTCCACGCCATGGGACTACTGTGTTCTGGGGCAGGAGATCCCGGAGGCAGTAGCTGGGCCGGAATTTCTGACTCAGCCTGTAGATGTGGCACATGCAGGCAGCCCGGGCAGCCCGGCTGCACGCGGGACCCCACCAAGCAGGGCTCACCGTTGGGTGACATGGGCATAGCCGGGAGCTGAGTGGACCAAATGAGAAAGTTAAGGGAGGAGAGCCCTGCTGTGTTCCTATGAGAACTGACTGAAAGGCGGCTTCCAGTGGGCGTCCTTCCCTCGACCCATCCCCCTTCCCGGAGGAACCCTCTCAGCTTCTTCTGACGAGCGCCGTTGGGCTGCCCAGCCTGTGCCAGGAAGCGCGGCCGCTTACCTGGAGGGCAGGTCTGAGCTCCGGCTCTGGTTCATCTTGGTTGCGTGAACCAGGGCTCCCTCCCCAGGAAGCCAAAGCTCGCTGGTGAGACACTCATAGCGCCCATGGCACGAGGGAGGCCAACTCACTCACATCAAATACTAAGTCTGCAGGTGGTCCACACACTACTTCGACAAAGAGAACGATCATTCTGTACCACAATACTCAGAGACAGCCTATGGAAGAGAGGGGCTTGGCCAGGCCATGGGACAGACAGAGGTCTCCCAAGAGAGGGGGAGAGAAGGGGCAGCAGCATTTTAGGGAAACAGGGCCCAGAAATGTGAGTGACCGTTGGCCGGAGGCAGCAGGGATAATGGAAAAAGTAGCATTCTCAGGAGATCATGGAAAATGCAGGTGCCCTCGATTTTGGCAGATGGTGGGGACTCCAGTGGCTACCCAGGGGACTCACTGTGGCAGGGCCATGAGACATAATGGGGAAGGGTAGCTGGGGTGTGGGGGGCACGAAGCTGGGGACAGGGGGATGTTTGGAGGATCATTACCCAGAGCCACTAGGTGTTGGGGAGTCGGGTGTGGCACCCACCAGGATGCAGGAAGGCACAGCCCTGAAGTGGAAATGGGTAGGAACAGATAGAAGGGGAAGCAGGTGTGGCTTGTAGCCCCCAGGAAGTCTTCAGGAGTGGGGGAGCAGCAGAAGGAGGCACCCATGGACAAGGGCAGGGAAAATGGCACTGGGTGAGCCACTGGGAAGTCCATGCAAGGACAGGCAATGAGGCCAAGAGAACGGCAGATACATGCTCTGCACGGGCAAGGGAAGACAGTGTCCACGCCAGGAAGCCAAGGGCTGCCGCAGATATGCTTGCAGGGGGAGTGGCTGTGGGGTCAGTGGCCAGAGGCCGTGATGAGGAAATCAAAGAAAATAACATGAGGGCAACATAAAGAAGCTAGTGCTTGGGCAGGAAAACCAGGCAGCGCACAGGAGGAAGCTAGATTGGTGCCCGTGCGTGCACAAAGAGGCTCACGTGTGAAGCAAAGAGTAAATGACAGACGAGAGGTTGTCAGAAATTAGACAATAGAGGACAGGTAGAAGGTGGAAGACGATAGGTACACAGAGATAGATAATGGATGGATGGACAGACAGATGGACAGATAGACGATAGACGGGTGAATACATAGATTATGATGATAGTTGGATGATGGATGGATGGACAGATGGACAGACAGACGGATAGATGGGTGATGGATAGACAGATGATGGATGGATGGACAGATGATTGATGGATAGATGGACAGATGGCTGGATACACAGATGATGGATGGATGGGTGAGTGGATGACAGGTGGACAGACGCATAGATGATAGACAGATGGACAGGTGATAGACGGTTGGATAACTATGTGCATAGGTAGGTGATTGATGAACACATAGTCGATGGGTGGCAGATGATGGATATCTTCGACAAACCAGTGTGTCTTGTCCTCTCCAACCACCTGTCAGCTCGGGGCTAGGAAGGGGCATAGACCAGGACAGAGCAAGCCTACAACCCCTGGGCTCCAGTGAGCCTGCGGTCCCAAAGGGACAGGCCCATGTGATCCCCCGTCCAGAGGGTGGAGCCATTCCTTGTCCTGCTGCAGGGTCCTGGCTGACCTTTGGATAGCGCAGGGGCGGCACCTCACTGGCTTGGGGTCATCCTGGGGTGTCCTCCCGGGGTTCCTTCTGGCCCAGGTGCTGCCCATACTTCCACCCCCAGACTCTTGGTGGCCCCATTCAGAGATCAAGTGGTCCTAGGCATCCTTCTCTGGGGCTTAGCTGTTGGAGGAAGGCGCCCCAGATGCCCCCAGGGACACAGCTGCAGGAGCTGGCCCTGATCAAGTCAAGGGCTCCCCAGCCCTATCCCAGGCCTGACCCTCACCCATCCCCTGGGGTTCGGTCTGGAGTGACCTGATGGAGCCCGCCGCAGGCTGGACGCCTGGCCAGCATCCCTGCTGGTCTAGGGCAGGTCAGGAGCAGAGGTGCCACACAGGGGCCCTTCCAGAGCAGACAGGACAGAAGGGACATCTGCTGTGTCTCTTCCCACATCCCTGGCACTCCGGACCTTGCTCTGCTCTGACACAGAGGCTGCCCTGCATCCTGGGGATCTGTTTCTGGATCCCTGTACGGACAAGGGTTCCTCCTTAGGGGTCAGCGTCCTTAGATGGCATCCAGACCCTCGTTCGCTCGCCTGCAGCCCTTGGGGCAGTCGCACAGGGTGGGACAGGTCTGGGCTGGGGCACAGAGTCCCATCCCGGAGGGCTCCCATTCCAGCAGGAGAGGAGGGGCCCAGTGGTGGAGGAAGGCAGTTCTAGGTGGGCCCAGAGAGGCTGCCAGGTGGGTTCCAGGATGGGCCCCGGACCGGGTCCAGAGCTGGGTGCTCAAGGCGGCAGTGAGCAATGGCCCGGACACTTGTCCGGGAGGCACATCTCGGAGGGGGCATCACATGTGCAAAGTCTCAGGGGTGGGCACTGACTTGGCAAGGGCCAGGCGCGAAGCAGGGGCAGGGCTCTCCCAGGACTATGGCCCCTGCCTGCGGTGGCCAAGCGAGCTGACTGATGGCCAGCGCAAGCGGGACGGCAGAGCCGAGGCCCCTTGGCCCACTCGCCCCTCAGCTACTTGAGGCTGCACGCCGAGTCCTAGCCCACTGCCTGGAACACACTGTCCCTGACAGCGGGGTGATCCCGAGACTCCGGGCAGGCTGCCTGAAGGACAGCGGCTCTGCTGGCCCTGGTGCACGGGCCGGTGGCACTGCCCGGAGCCCTGGGTTCCGGCCTCCTCTGCTGCATCCTGTCCGGCTCCCTCGTGAGGTCATACTGAGGTCAGTCACCCTGGGGCATTCCCAGCCGAGCTCTGCTGTCATGGTCTGAGGGTTCTCACCCACAGGCCTGCACCGTGGGCTGTCTGGACACTCAGGGGCAGTCCCCAGGGCCAGCCAGCTCCCAGAGCCCTCAGATAGCAGGTGTGGTCCTCCTGGGGGTGATGCCGGTGGTGGCGGGGGGTTCAGCTGCTTTCCACCCCCACCCGGGGCTGTGTAGGGGTGAGGCAGTGCCCACATGCCCAGGTGGTCTCTGCATCACCCTGACAGGAACAGTTGTGGCTTTTTAAATACCACACAGTGCAGCTAGGAGCCGCGGGCTTACACTCAGCACATGTGCGCCCCAGCTGCGCTGCCCCCGGCGAGCACTTGCGCTGTCCGGGCTTCACGGCCTCTCCGCGGGTATCGCCATGTGCGTACCGTGAGCCTGTGGCTTTAAACGCCGCGGGAAAGACGCGGACATCCGTGGGCACGTCTGACCAAGGCGGCCATGTCCGTGGCATCATCATATGTGACCTGCAAGTCTGGCCGTGCGCAGAGCGTTGCTGCCGTTCAGGAGAAGTCGCCAATGAAGCACCCAGACGGCGCCCCTCTGCGAGCCTTTCTCGGGCCGGGGACGCGGCAGGCACATCCCCGAGACGGCATTTGCCCCGATCGCGTGGCTCCGACGGCTCGTTGATGACGATCTTGTGTGTCAGCGCCCCTCTCCCGTGGAGCCCTTGGCGGCCCTGTGACAGCTGGTGTCCCAGGCCCCGCGCGCCCGCATCACCTCTCTTGTCTGGCCCCGCACAGGTGTGGATAGATGCCGCCACCCAAGTGTGCTTCTCGCTGGGCGTGGGGTTTGGGGTGCTCATCGCCTTCTCCAGCTACAATAAATTCACCAACAACTGCTACCGGTAAGTCCCACCGCAGGGTCTGCCAGGCCACGCACTTCTTCTTCTTCTTCTTCTTTTTTTTTTTTATTTTTAAAATTTATTTCAGCGTAACAGTATTCATTCTTTTGGGCCACTGACTTCTGACATGACATGTCCCCAGAGACGGGGAGGGGGACACACCATGCTCGTGGGGCCTCTGAGCCGGACCGTGGAAGCTACAGGCAATTTGGTTCTTGCTCTAAGGAAAGTACTAGCAGATGAAGGTGTTCACCACCTCCCGGAGTCACCACCAAGGGCCCTGACTTCTGCCCCCTCCTCCATCCACTGCCAGGCCCCAGCTGCCGCTGCCTCCTGGTGCCCAGGGCCAGGCCTCCCTGGGGTGCTCAGGGCACTGGGCTCCAGGGCAGGCTGACCTGCAGCCAAAGGCTGGACCCCAAGTCCATCTAAAAACAAAAGTGAGTCCATCTGGGACCTGCTTTCTCTGACCTTTATGGTCTTGTGTTTATTTCCTTCACATCATGAGGACAGAAAATGCAGTAAAAATAACAAAGCATGCATAGCAAAGTGGGCACCCCACACGGGGGGCAGCCTCTGCCTGAGTCCCCCCAGGGTCTGGGCACTCGGCAGACATCCTTCCACTCCGGCAGCCCTGCTCCCCCACCTCTACTTCCCTCTGGCCCTCTGAGTTCTCAGCCTTCCGAGTGGGGTCCCCCAGGCCGGGAACACACAGACGCATAGCATCGGGGCCCCACCAGACATCCCCAAAACCGCATTTCTCCCAGGTCCGCGCAAGCCATCTAGACACCCTGCCAGACATCCCCCTGCTGAGCGTGGGTGGGGACCCCGTTGGTTTCCGTTTGCCCGCCCAGGGCCCCCACGCTGCTGATGCGGACCATCTCACCTTTGCACCGAGTCCTGATGTCAGAAGCCCTTGGCTCCCGGGCAGATGCGCGTGGCTGGCCACCAGGGGTCCGCCTGGGCCAAAGCCTGCACACACCCGGAGCCTAGAGCCACTCCGATGGGGGTCCTGCCACCCTGGGCACCAGCCTGTCTGCAGTGCCGCCCATAGGAGGGGCCAGGGAGCCCCCGGAAGAGCACCCTCCAAAGCCCGCCTGACCCCGGACGGGGCGCATCGAGGACAAAGGGAGGGAGTGACCCCTCCTGCAGCATGTGGCTGGGACGTGTGTCTTGTTTCCCAGAGACGCGGTCATCACCACGTCTGTCAACTCCCTGACGAGCTTCTCCTCCGGCTTCGTGGTCTTCTCCTTCCTGGGGTACATGGCCCAGAAGCACAGCGTGCCCATTGGGGACGTGGCCAAGGACGGTGAGTCCCCCTAGGGCAGGCCACCGTCCCCACAGCCGTGTCCACCCAGTCCCCCCGAGTGTTTTCCCCACACAGTAGGAGGGAGACGTGCAGGCCCTGAGACCGAGTCACATGTGTTCGGGATGGGCGGGGGGGCAGTGCGCAGAAGGACACAGCCTCCAGGGCAGCAACACACCACCACACCCCACCCCTGCCCCGTTAGCCACCAGCTCCGTGCAGAGGCCCTGGGGCTGCAGGACAGGCTGTGGTTCACGGCCTCAGGGTAGGCCTTGTCTTTGTTTACACTGGGGAAGGGGGCCCACACAGCTCAGGGGTGGGAGCCCTGACCATTTCCAAGCCACGCAGCCGGCAGGGTGGGAGAGCAAGGCCGGGGAGAAACCCGGTGGATTCACACACAAGCCTTTCATTAGCGCCAAAGCTTTTCCCTCCAAACCCCCAGTGATCGCAACATACGTAGGTGGGCTTTGGGTAATAACCAGAGGAATCATGAAATCTTGGGCACGAAGACAACAGAGACCCTTGTTCCCAGCCCGCTTGCCCAGCCAGCCGCACACACCAGCTGTCTGCGTGCAGAAGTGGGCAGGGGGGGAGTGGGCACAGGTGACCCAGCGAGCAGGCTGGGCCCTGGGAGGAGGCCAGGTGTAGGCGTGGGGTGCGGAAGGGGCCCCCTGGGCACTCGTGGGGCTGGCGGTCCTCATGCGTGGGAGGAATGCCGTGGCACTGGATCAGTCCGGGACCCCGGGGTCTCCTGAGATCACCGCAAGCCCTGGCCTGCGTCAGATCATTCTGGGGGTGAGTGGGGAGGGCTCTTCCCCTGGAGTCTGTCCTCGCCCCTCCACTTTCTCTGAAAAGGCCCCTCCTCTCCTGGGGCTGCCTCAGGCTCAGAAGAGCCCACGTGGGTGTCACTGACTCATCTCCTCCTGAGTCTTTTTACTTCGGAGTGGGGGCCGGCTGGCTGCTCAGTGAGGGTCCGAGGGGAGCAGAGGGCCGCCCCGCCCCTGCGCGCCGCCGGTAGCCTCCATGTGACTCCTGGCTCTTGTGCGCTAGGCCTTTGGATCGCACTTGGGAAGTAGGAAGCAGAGGTCCCGCCCCCCGGGACTGGTAGGGAAAGCAGGGGCTGGGCGCGTGCTTCCTAAGTCCGCATTCTTGCCTCCAGGAAAGAAATCCAATAAAAGCAAGAGAATGGGAACATAAAGCAAATAAATACAGAGCAGTGAAATTTACTCACTGCTGCATTTATGCATTTCCCGTGCTTCTGCCCTTTTTTACGATAAATAGCAGCGGCTTACGAAACCTCCATTAGCCCTGGAAGTGCAGTGAGCGTCTTCTGTGCATTTCCGCGACCAGTAAAGTAAATGTCATTTACAGCTCTAATTCTCAAGAAAACAGGGTGAAATGTTAGCTCAGGTACGGAACCGAAGGGCGAGGACACGGACATCACGTTCCGCGGAGCCGACCCGCCTCTTCCCCGGGGTCTGAGGCTCGTGGCGTGGAGGCTTCAGATGGTCCGTAATGAGCTTCCGTCCACCCCGTGCGGGGACGGTGACCCTCGCCTGCGGGCGGGAACTGCGGAGAGCCCAGGCCTGAGCTCGGCTCTGCTCTCTGCAAAGATGCCTCAAAGCCCGGATCCCACCGGCTGCCTCCCGCCGCGGCCCCACTGAGAGCGGAGAGGTTGGGGAAGCTCCGTCCTCGTGCGTAACGGCGCGGGAGGCCGTGCGAGTGCCTCACGCAGGCCCATCTTTTAAAACTGACCCTGAGACGCACTACAGCTTCCCGTGGGAATGTTTTTGCTCTGGGTCTTCACGGCCAAACGGCCGCAAGTCCGGCGGAGGCCCACACCGTCGTCACCCCGCCCCTCCCCACGGCCCGCCCCCTCGCCCCCTCCGGCCCAGGGCCCCGCGCCCACCCAGACCCCGTGGTGCGGTGCGGGGGCGGCGCCCCTGCCGGCGTGCCTGTCTTCCATGCAGCGGCCCCGCCCCCCGTGTCCCCGCGGGGACGGTCGCAGGAGCGGCCGCGTGCACAGAAGCCTGCCCCTTTCCCGCACTCGCCGAGCCGAGCGTTTCCGTGTTCTTCACCTGGTTTGTAAGGATCAGACGCAGAGTCACTACTGACGCGGACAAATATTCACGGGCTGCTAAATGTACCGCCGTGAGTGAGTGGCGAGTGTGCGCACGTCAGCGCAGATGCGCACACGTGTCCGCCTGCGTGCGCGCGTGTGCATGTGCGTGTGTGAGAGCACACGTGCGTGCGGGCGCACACGTGTCTATTACGTGCAGAGAACAGACCAGGAGGCCAGCGGGAGGTTGTCCAGGGCCGCGGGCAGGTAGCCCCCCCACCTCTGGGTTGGTTCCACCCCCACCACGCCCGGCCCCCACAGCCCCACACAGACCAGAGGACCCAGAGGAACAAGGGGCGAGTCTCCAGCGGACGTCAGCTTTCCATGACCTGGAGACCCGGCCTGGTGTCCCCTGCGTTCCGCGGACAGAGGACCCCCCGCCCCGGGAGGGCGGGCGCTGGCGGGGCTGGTCATCTCCCCGCGGGGAGCGGAGGCTGCGGCGGCGGCAACAGGACGACCCGTCTGCAGGGCCCGGGCTGATCTTCATCATCTACCCGGAGGCGCTGGCCACGCTCCCGCTGTCCTCGGCCTGGGCCGTCATTTTCTTCATCATGCTGCTCACCCTGGGGATCGACAGCGCCGTGAGTGACCTTGGCACCTCGCACGCCAGGGGCCCTGCGCGGCACGGCCGCGCCCCTCCCCACCGCCCTCACGGGGCAGGCAAACCCAGGCGACCCCCAGGGGGTGCCCCGCATGGTGGGAGGAGGGGCCCCACAAGTACTCGGGGCCCTTCCTGGGTGGGGTGTTGGAACAAACCCTCCTCCTTCCCTCGGGGTGGCCACCGTGCCTTCTGCCCAGGTCACCACAGACCCTGACACGCGCACACAGGCCAGTAGTGGGAGGGCAGCGCGGGGAATGTAGTGAGAACTGCCCAGAGCCAGGGCCGGTCCCTCCCGCTTTCCTTGACCCCAGATCCCCCAGGAGGGATGGCTGCACCCACAGCAGGCCAGCAAGGGCTCCGGCCGCAGCGCAGGCTCCGCCCACTGAGTATACGGGTGCGGCCCTCTGGGCCTGCGGGTGCTCGCGGGTGCATGTGCGCGACTGTGGGGCAGGGAGCTGGGGAAGCAGAATGCGGGCTTCCTCGGGCTCCTGCCCACTGCCTGCTCAGGACCAACAGCTGAGACCTCAGGGTCCCCGTGAGTGGCCATGGGTGCCCCGTCCCCCAGAGCTTCCCAGAAAGTGTAGAGAACCACACATCCCACGCCCTGGCCCTAGGCTGTCATCTCCCAGGCAGCCTGGTCAACGGCTGCTGGGGGCCACGGCCCTGGACCACACGTCTGCCTGGGATGAACAGCACGTCCTAGAGGAGGAGGGCAAGGAGGGTCACCATGCAGGGCAGGAGGCTCGGAGGACCCCCATCACCACAACGCTCAGAGTCAGGAAGGCTGCGCCCGGGGCCACGCCAGGTCCTCCCCAAGAGCAGGCTAAGGCCCTGCTGTGGCGGACAGGTGTTTGGGGTGGGCGGGCCGGGATGGGGTTTTGTGGGGACATCGGCAGATGGTGCCACGTTACCACGTGGGCTGCAGGGCTGCTGAGCACACCCTGTCGGGGACGGCGTCCACCCCCGGGTCCCTGCTCCAACGGCCCAGGGCTTGCACGCGGGGCACCTGTGCCCCAGGCGCTGTGCGGCCGCCGCTCGCGCCCACGCCCCGGCTGTAAGTCCGCTGGACTGGACACAAAGCGCGCCCCGCCCCGCAGCGCCCCTGCTCTGTTGGCTGCAGATGGGCGGGATGGAGTCGGTGATCACCGGGCTGGTGGACGAGTTCCAGCTGCTGCACCGGCACCGGGAGCTCTTCACCCTCCTCGTCGTCCTGGCCACTTTCCTCCTCTCGCTCCTCTGCGTCACCAACGTACGTACCAGCGCCCGCTGTGCCGGGCGAGGTCGGTCAGCCTTTGGGGTCGGGCGGCCCGGCTGGCGCTGACTGAGAGCGGCGGGCCGCCACTTGGAATGATATGCGGGTCGCCGTGGTCACGTGTGGGACTGGTGGTCGCACAGGGTGGCCATGGTCGCCAAGAGCAGCTGCGGTCACACGTGGCATAGCTGTGGCCCATGGTCCTTTTGCTCCCGGACGCCCCCGTGGAAGCAGCCTGGGCGGAGCACCTCCCTGTTGGATCTGCGGGGCCAGGGGAGGCCTGACCACAGGGGGCGGGGCTGGGCCACCTTCCCTCCCACAGAGTCACTCCCAAGTTTGGCCGCTGCAATTTTTATTGGTTTCCCCTCGGATTGTAGCCGGAGTGCCGGGGGCGGGGGGGGTCCTTCCCAGTCCCGTGCAAAAGGCACATCTGTGAGAAGCTGTGCAGGGACTGAATTCCAGCGGCTCCTATCGGACTCTGTGGGGAGTAAGACAGACTATGTCTGTGAGCCGGGTCCAGTTTAAACTGGGCCTGTCGTCTCCCTGGGGAGAGCACCTCTGAGGGCTCCCCAGGGAGGCGTGCTGTGCCCGGCACCCCGAGTTCAGCGGGCGCCCGTCTTCCAGGGCGGCATCTATGTCTTCACGCTGCTGGACCACTTTGCAGCCGGCACTTCCATCCTCTTCGGAGTGCTCGTCGAGGCCATCGGGGTGGCCTGGTTCTACGGTAAGGTTGAAACCTCTCTGGAGCTGCGGTGCGTCCACAGGGAGCAGACCCGGCCGCGGTGCCGTCGCTGTGACCAGCCGGCTGGCGTCCTTGCACGGTCCCTGTGCTGCCTCCTTCCTGACACATCAGCTCCGGGAAGCTTCGAGCGGTAGCTGCCACGGCACCGCAAGGACAGGAGGCTGGAAAGGGTCTGCTTCGCCACATCGATGAGCACAGTTAGCCGGGGCACCCCAAGATGCTTACCGTGGTCAGAACTGTTCCGTGTAGCCACCTGATTGTGCCAGGCCCACGGCCTCGTGGTCGCTGAGGGAGAATGGCTCACGGGGGCCAGTGGAGGGGAGGTCCCCGCCGTCCGCCCGGAAACAGGCCTGTTCCTCACTGGGGACCAGGACCAGCAACGCAGTTCACAAGGTGGGGGCGGATTGGCACACTTTAGAGCACCACGGCTCACATGCCAGCTCCTCACAGGGGCAGAGCCTCCGCCGTCTCTGCCACCGCTGGCCTGCCGGCCACTGGCTCCTGAGTTAGAACTCGGAACTCCTCTGGCGGGTGGGCAGCCCCCAGGCGAGACGGGGCCGCCTGCAGCCACAGCTGTCCCGCCCCTGCCAGGCCCCCAAATCGTCCTGGTCACTGTGACTGCCGCGGGCCCCGGAGCCGGAGAAGGCCCTGTTCCTTCCCCACGTGCTGACCCTCTGCGCCGCAAGGAGAGAGCACCCGACTGGGCCCCTCCAGACAGTCGGCAGGGACAGCTCTGGGCACGGGCGCGCCCCTCCCGGGCTGGGAGCCCTGGCCCAGAGCTCACAGCCTACTGTGCTGCGCCGGCTCCCCCCACCCCCGGCCCCGTGGGAACCCTAGTGTCATTCAGGGCACACGGCCTCTGCCTCAGGGCTGTGGGCAGCGTGGCCTGAAGAAGCATGTCGGCTTCGAGAGGTTGCCCCTGACATATAGCTCATATTTTTGGAACAGATTTTCAATTTTAGTTTCTTTTGTACAGGAAAGGGAGATACTGCATTCTGTGCTTTTATTAGCACCTGGAATCAATACTTGATCCTTTAGAATGGGGCTCTGTTCCCTGTCCCCAAAGGAAACCCCCCAGGGAAAGAGAGGGAGTGCCCCAAACGCGTACCTCGGTCATGAGCCTGGCAATGGTGGGAGAGACGCTGGCGACCACGCGCACCCCAGACCCTCGGGAGACGGAGTCCACGTGGTTTCCCCAAACGGCCATTCCCATCCCTGACCCAAACGCAGTCTGTGTTTCTTGCACGATGCATCAGAGTGTGTCAGGCTCTCTGTGCACCTAGGGTCCCTGATGGTCTTCGAGCCAACAGCCCAGCGCCGAGAGGGGCCATGGACTGCCCTGACCACTCATGGGGCCGAGTCCAGAGGGGCCCAGGGACTGGCCTTGGGTTCACCCTTCTCCCTTTTTGTGCGCCCCTGGTCCATCTCTGTGTCCGGGGTTCTGATGATGGGGTTGGTGTGCACAGAGGGAATTCTGAACGGAGGGGTCTTCCCGATGGGTCCCCAGTGTGACACCCACAAGACTCACCCAGGGCTCAGTGGACCAGCTGTGGTCGTCTGAGCGGAAGCCAGGCCAGACTCTTGGTGGGAGAAATCACCGGCGAGATGTCCTAGAGAAAGTGCCAGTTCACTGAGCTTCTGAAGTAGCTAGAAGTAGCTCTAGAAGTAGCTCTAGAAGTAGCTCTAGAAGTAGCCATCCTTAAGAAGTAAGGATGGCAAATACAGCCTTGAAAGGAAGGACACTCTCACACCTGCCAGGACACAGGGGAGCCTTGAGAACACCATGCAGAGTGAGATAAGCCGGCCGTAATAGGACAAACCCCTTAGGACTGCACGCCCGGGAGACAGAATGTGACGGCGTGACAGCGTGATGTGCTGGTGTGACTGCGGCCGCGGCGGGGCGGGGGAGGGGAGAGTCAGCGCTGCACGGTGATGGCGCTTCTGTCCGGGGAGATGGGACGGTTCTAGCCAGAACCGTCCCATGGTGGTGACGGCCGCACAGCAGTGTGAGTCAGCGCCTCCGAACGCCACACGTAAAAATGGCTCAAATGGTAACTTTGTATGTTATGTGCATTTAACCAGAATTTTTTTAAAGAGAAAAAAAGCAGTAGTTCAGGCCGAGGGGAGACAGGACAGCCCAGAGCACGAGAGGAAGGGCTGTGGGAGGAAGAGGAGGGAGAGAGGGCAGGGCGCTCGGGGCACATGACTCAGGTTGATGTGTGGCCACAGTGAACACGCGTGGGGACCCAGCCAGCAGGCTCCCGGGAGGTCTGGTGGGGAGGAGCTACAGGAAGTGGGGGAGGACCCCGGGCGGGCTGGGTGCCGTCCTGACTGGCCGCATGGCTCCCGCACCGCAGGCGTGAGGCAGTTCAGCGAGGACATCAAGCAGATGACTGGGCAGCGGCCCAGCCTCTACTGGAGGCTGTGCTGGAAGTTCGTCAGCCCCTGCTTCCTCCTGGTAAGCACCCCCCGACCGCCCAGGTCCCCCGAGGCCGCACACACCGGCTCTCTGCTCCTGTGCGGCTGGGGAGGGGGCTGTCCCGTACAATCCTCTGTGGTCCCGGGAAGGTGGCCCCCACCCTCTGGACCCACTGAGAAACCTCACGGAGGACCCACGGGGATTCTACCCCATGCCTCGCAGCTCTGCCACGGAGGGAGGCCAGAGCTGAGCATGGCCAGCGGCCAGTGGCCGGTTCCTCCCCTGAGGACAGTCATGGAATTGAGACTTCTAGGGGGAGGGGGGCTCGAGGACTCAAATGCCAAAAAACAGGAGTGACTTAGATGCTGTCACAGCACAGCCGCTGAGAGCACGTCTACTAGCCGCCTGGCGCTTCTCCTTGGGGCCGGAGGACACCAGCCCAAGCTCATGGGCCAAGGCTGCCGGCCACCGGCCTCATTAGAACAGGGCCACACGGATCCCCTTACCATGGCCCACAGCTGCTTCCCACCGACAGCAGCAGACGCCGTCCTTGTGTGGCTCACAGAGCCCGATGTGTCCTGCCCAGTCTGGACAGGTGACCCCAGGGGCCATTCAAGGACTGTCCTGCTCTGAGCAGAGAGCTGCAGGAGCTACTCACAGAGATGCACGTCTCCCTGACCCCTGGCATGTCTGGGACCTGCAACAGATGAGGAGTTTGCTGTCCTGCACTGACCCAGCTAGTGAGAGGCAGAGACAGACAGAGACAGAGAGGCAGAGGCAGAGACAGACAGAGACAGACGAGATGGAGAGACAGAGAGAAAGACAGAGATGGAGAGGCAGAGACAGACGGAGAAGCAGACACAGAGACAGAGAGGCAGGCAGGCATGGAGGGAGGGAGCCGGAGTCCCGCGGCTGCCATGACCGGCAGTGTCTCCCTGAGCTGAGCCCGGACACTCGGGTGCTCCCGAGGCCCCACCCCACGCCTGGGGCCTGCTTCCAGCACGTTCATGTGGGCTGTGCTCCGAGGGCTGAGGGGCTGGTGTGGACGTCGGATAAGCCAGGCGGGGTCTCCCCAGCATGACCACCTAGGAGGCACCGCACACGGGGGTGGGCGTGGGCCATGGGCATCCCCGCCCCCGCCTGCAGGACCCGGACCCCAGAGCGGCCGAGTCGGGGAGACCCTCCGGGTGAACCGAGCGCCGGGTCCCACCTGCCCGCCGCCGGCTGAGAGCCGCCCTCCGCCCTCGGTTGCAGTTTGTGGTCGTGGTGAGCATCGTGACCTTCAGGCCCCCGCACTATGGAGCCTACGTCTTCCCCGAGTGGGCCAACGCGCTGGGCTGGGCCATCGCCACGTCCTCCATGTCCATGGTGCCCATCTACGCCGCCTACAAGTTCTGCAGCCTGCCTGGCTCCCTGCGGGAGGTGCGTGCGCACGCGGGCCTGCCCCGCCCTTGCCGCGGGGACCCCGCAGCGCGGGCGGGCGGGCGCCCACTCGGGCCTGACTCGCGGGGAGGCCGGCGCGGGCAGCGGCCACGGTGGACGACGAGGCCGCGGCAGGGGCGGGCCGGAGCGGGCCGGGCGTGCGTGTCCGCGTGCGCGTCCATCCGTCCTTCCCGCGCACGCCTGTGCGCGTCTGCCCGAGTCTGCGCTCCCGCGCGCTCCCGCGTGCTGCTCCGGCTGCCCGTGGTCCCGGGAAACACGCGGGCGGCGGCGCGGGCTAGGCCACGTGGACAGGGGCGGCGGGGGCCGGTCCCCCGGGCACCGCTTCTCCCCCTGGCGCCGGCCTCCCCGGAAGGAGCGCCCCGCACGCCCGCGTGTTTCCCGGGACCACGGGCAGCCTGGTCCTGCGGCGGCACCCACGGCTCCCCGCGCACAGCGGTCCTCGGCAGTCAGGCCAAGCCTGGGCCGGCGGGGTCGAGGGGCTCCAGGGAGGGCGGGACGGGGGGGGGGGGGGGGGGGGGGGGGGGGGGGGGGGGGGCCCGCAAAGCAGGCTGCACCACGCAGTGGGGACCCCCCCCTCCCACGCTTCTCCATGCCCGCAGGGCCCAGCCAAGGCCCCTGGGGTGGGGGGACGGTGGCGCGGCCTACAGCCGAGGGGCCGGACTCTGAGCCAGCCCCCGCCCCAGGGTCCCCTGGCCTCGAGACTCCCGGGGGCCTGCATGCCGTGCCCCTTGCTCAGAGCCCGTGGCAAGCGCGCTACAGAGACAGCGGCTTGTCCTCCCTACACTGAGCTCGGCCGCAGGGTCTGGTGAAGCCCAGCCCTCAGCCCCGGCATCTGACCGCTGTCAGCAGGGGCCCCGCCTTGCAGAGCGCACTGCTGCCCACGGCCTGTTCTTCTCTTCCAGAAACTGGCCTACGCCATCACCCCGGAGCAGGAACGGGAGCTGGTGGACAGCGGGGAGGTGCGTCAGTTCAGGGTGAGTGCGACCGCCCTGCCGCCCTCCGCAGGGAGGACTCCGAGGCCTTCCCCAAGCTCCTAGGCGGTGGGCCCCTACGGGCCACAAAGCTGCGCTGGGGAAGGCAGGAGAATGCTGGTGCACCTGTCCCAGGGTCCGCCTGGGACACCCTCCGGGGACCCCTGAACTGATGGGGGGCACGCAGTAGGCAGAATGAGAAAGCTTGGGAGAAAGAGGAAGCAGCAGTGGGGAGAGGCTTGAAGTGGAGGAGGGAGAGGGCCCGAAACAGCTCTGAGCCTTGCCCTCACGGGATTGGGATGCTGGGGTGCTCTGTCAGACCCTGACCCCAGGGGTCACTCAGGCTGCTGAAGACTGTTGGGGTGGGGGCTGCAGAGAGCCGGGAGGCCAGGGGCCTCCAGTGGGAGAGGGTGGCGGTCTCACCAGGCCCGTGGCAGGATTGGGTCCATCCCTTCCTTGGATTTGCTCCTTGTACTTGTGCTAACTCCCCAAATGAGACCTTAGGTCCCTCGTTCTCAAGCTCTCTTCTTTCCCAGTAGAAGCTCTCAAGGCCTTGTCTGGGGCGCAGTGGCCACACTTAGCACAGCCTGGTCCTTATCCTTTGGTGTTAAGGGTATTTTAGTTTTCATTGTGATTTTGTCCACCGTGAGTCGCTTGAAGTTTGCTTTCAAATCCCCAAATCTATGGGGATGTTTCGTGGATGTTTTGGGGATCAGAGTCAGATATGATTGCATCTGGTCACGTGCCCTTGGGGGCACATGAGGACTTCGGAGAGGCAGAGCCCCTGACCCACCATGGCAGACAGGATGCACATCTGTGGATGCAAGTGGGTCCTGTAGTTGGTGGCACACGCTCCTCTTTGCGCCTGTCACGTTGTACTGGTGACCTTGCCGCTCAGATCGAGCAGCACGTCGCTGACTTCAGCTCTCCTTCCGGTGAGAACTGGGACGGGTTTGCACGCTATAGCGAACTTGTCCAGGTATCCCCCCATCATCCCCCCAGTTTTTTGCTTTATATATCGTGCAGCTGCTTTCCGGGGTAACCACACATCTGGGATGGCCGCGTCTCCCCTGGGACTTCACACATCCTCTCTCCCTCGCGCTGCTTTTGCGCTGGCAGTCCTCTGGTCTGACATGGTACTTGCAGCAGGTTTCCCCTGAGTTTGCCAGAAGCACCTTCTACAGTGTTTCTGTGTTCGCCTTTGCCACGATCTCAGAACGCAGCCGTCTTCCGTACACGCCTGGGACTTTGTACTGACAAAGATGAGTCCCTTTATATCTGTTGTGATTATTGATATTTTCAGCTTGATTCTAGGCTTTTTAACTCTTTTTGCTGCATTTTTAATGTGTATTTTTTCCTTTCTTACCTTTATATGGATTGCTCTTTGGGGGATTTGCTTCCCCCCCCCTTTTTAATGTTTTCTCTCTGTTTGGAACTTACACACTCATGTACTTGCTTACAGACCTGTACGTCACTCCTTTACAGTTATCTCTGGAATTGTGACATACGAGCCTCCCTTTGCACACGTGAAGTGACACAGTATCTCAACCCCGTCCTGAACGTCACAAGGGCTTAGGACTTCCCCTGCTAGTTATCATGCTGTTAGTGCCCAGTGCTCCATTTCTGTCTTTTCTAACCCACAAACTAGGCACTGTTAACAATTATGCTCTGTTGTACAGAAACGCTCTCTGGGTTAACGTGCACGAGACTGCTTAGTTCTCCACCCGACTTTTTGACATCTACGTCTTTCCTTTGAGCATCACTTTCTGGCTTTAACATCAAACATCCTTCAGTCTTTCCTTTAAGGAGATCTCTCGATCAACTTCCCCACTCTTGTGTGTCCAGAAACCTCTTCATTTGGCCCCTCTCAGGAAGGAGGGTCTCAACCACTGTCTCCGGCGCTGTGAGACTGCGCGATCTCGTGCGTTCTTCGTGCCCCTTGGCTGCCGCTTGGAGACCGTGCCTATGTCCGGGGTCTGCACATCCGTGTGTTTTGTCTGTCTGGGGAACGTCGCAGTCGTCCCTCGCAACCTTGCCTCCTGCGCGGCTCCCCTCGGGGCTCGGCTGTGTGACACTTGCCCTGCCTTCGGGTTCTCACGGTCTCTCAGGAGTTTGGTGAATGTGACTCGGGTGCACCGTCGTGCAACACCTTCTTGTCAGTGCACACACAGCAGCTTTGAGTCATTTATCCAAAAATCAAACTGCTTGAACTTCCGCACAGAAAGCTCACACTGATCATAACTCCCGTGCGCAGACTGAGGCTCCCCCATCCACCCCTGAGGCAAACACTCTCCTGCTCTGGTCCGCGCGCCCCCTGCCCCCATCGATACTTCTGTGTTCCCAAAAAGTCGATCGGTCTGCAGTGGGGTGTCCCCGTGGAGCTCTAGGGCTCTGGCCCCACAGCTCCGTCCCACCTGCGTGCCCTACATGGCCCTGCTGGGCGGGGGCTGCCCGCCCCGCTGCGGCCCCTGGGGAGCCCAGCCGCGGGTCTCCGGGAGACGGGGGGCAGCCGTGTGCCGGCCGCAGGGGGTCGGGCCTCTTCCTGCCCCGGGCGTGGCTGTTTCGGGACAGGGCCTGTGGCGCTCGGGCTGAAGCATTCACCCTCGGTTCTCGCCTTCTTCGTGACCGCACGGCGCGTGCTCAGAGCCACACGGAAGCGACAGCCGCACGGTAGTGGGCAGCCGCATCTGCCGGCGAACTCCACACCCGCGCTGGTCACTCGGCCTCCCCGAGCGGTGAGCGCGGCCTCCCCGGCGCGCCTGGGAGCTCATGCCAAGTGAGACACAAGTGTGGGTACAGCCTTGCCCTGGGATGGGAGCAGAGGCCCCAGGGAGGCGACAGAAGGTGGCCTCGGGCCGTCCCTGGTCTGACCCCCACACCATCTGTCCCGCCTCAGTTGTGCCCCTGCCCCCGGGGCCGCGGTAGCTGCTGCTCCGGCCGGGCCCTCGCGGCAGCAGTGCTCTCTGCGCTTTGCCCACAGACCTGCTCGTACGTGTCTACACAGGCTGAAGGTCGTCCACGTCTGCGTATTTAACTTAAGGGTGTGTGCGTGAGGCGGGTTTCTGGAAGGTTCTCACGCGCATCAGACCTGAGCTTCCTGGGCTGCGCGGCGTCTCCCGGAACTTGTTGGGTTGGCAGCCAGGAGCCGCCTGGAGCCAGGTCGCCCCTGCTCTGCTTCTGAAGAAACCTGTTTCCTTCCTAGCTTCGCCACTGGCTCCTGGTGTAGCCGGCGGGCAGGGGGCCCGGACGGCCACCCCAGCGCAGCAGAGATGCGGCAAAGAAGAGACCCGAGCTGAGAGAGAAAGGCGGGGCCGCTGGCTGCGGGACTCCTGCTCTCCCAGAACCACACGGAGCCTCCGCCTCCCGGCTCCGTGCGCCCTCCCTTTGCCCCCGGAGAGGACTGGCCGTCGCGCTTGTCTCTGTGACCACGTAACGTAGATCCGTGCCCCTTCCTGCAGGTAGAAGACATCCGTCCGTGTTCTGTTTGTGCCGAGCACGCTCCCTCCCACCGCCACCCCACGCCGGCTGCCCCGAGTGCGGGTCTTGCTGTCACCCATGTGCTGAGGAGAAAAGTGGTGATCGTGGCAGCTGACAGCCCAGGGCTCGTGACTTCCTGGGTATTTTATTTTGCTCCAACTAGAAGAGCTACATGTCATGTGTTGCCTAATTGTGTAGAAGGTGCCCTGGGGAAACCACAAAAGGCAATAAAGTGGGGCCACCACGTGTCCCCACACCATGCACCTCGTGTGCGCGGAACCTGCCCAGGGTCCCAGTGTATGTGATGGGGATGCTCTGTACTTCCTTCTAGCGGACAGAAACACAACGGGGGTCCGTGCACGCTGCCGCCACCCCTGCCCATCGTGGGCCGCACACAGTCACGGCCACCTCGCTGCAGATCCCTGGCCACAGGAGGCAGGGGCATGTGCCCCTCACCCCCAGGCCCTGACCCTGCCAGGCGCCCGCGGCAGGTGGCCTGGGGTCCTGGGAACTGGGAAGGAAGCTGCTGCTGGGGCTTCCGTTCCTCGGTTCATGTCCCCCCCCCACAGCAGCACCATCCATGTTGGGGAACGGCTGTTTCAAATCACGTCTACCTGTGAGCCGAGACCCGTCCTCAGGAGGCAGGGCTGGCTTCTGAAGACCTCTCCGTTATGTCCAAGTTGCCATTTGTGCGCACGTTGGCAGCACCAAGAGAGGACGGCAGCCACGCTGCTCCCTGCACACTGGCATTGCCCCGAAGGGGACCTGGCCGCCAGAACCCGGAGGCTGCACGCAGCCTGTGCCCCGGGCCCCGAGAGGTCGTGCTGTGTGACCCTGTGTGGCCATCGCCTGCGAGGAGCCCTTGGTGCCCAGGGCTGAGGAGCTGGCCGCTCAGGGAACCAGCTCGTGGATGGCGGGGGCCGGCACCCTGAGTGCTCTGTGTAGATAGCGGTGTCGTCAGCGTCTGTCTGTCTGTCTGTCTGTATCCGTAGTCGGCACCTCACGTGAGTCGTCGGCAACAATAAATCCATGTGGGAAAATGGACCGTAGCTGTGTGGGCGCCTTTCTTGGCTCAAGCTGTGGTTCCCCCGCTGCCCCCACCCGGAGGGAGCACCGCTGGGCTTGGCCCAGACCCGGGACCCCAGCCTGCAGACTCCCCTTGCACCCACCAGCCCCGCCACCCGAGCCCTCCTCTCCTGAGCCTTCTTCTGCCACCAGTTCCCCCGTGGGCTCCCCACATGTCCAGACTCCAGCCGGGCATTCGGACCACTGTCGCCACCCCACCCAAGCCTGTCTTCTGGGGACAGGACACCAGGGTCCTGAATGGTTCCCTACCCTTGGCCCCCAGAGGATCTCTTGTCCACTCTGGGGCCAAAAGAGTCGATCTAGATGCCAGTCAGCTCTGGCCACGGCCCAGAGGAGACATGTATGGCTTCTCACTAAGTTTGGAATAGACACCAATGCCACTCCGTGACCTAAACACTCGGGCAGCGGGTCTGTCCCGTCAGGTCATGACCCACCTCCTAAGACACTGGTCCCTCCCTCCAGGCCCCCAGCCTGGCCCCCAACGGAGGATCCTGATGGCTCACTCACACGAGGACTCCGTGCCACCCGCCCCGTGCAATCGCTCTTCTTTCGGATCCCCCGACGAATGCCGTGCTTCCTTCAGGTGTCACTTCATCAGGGACCACGGGACACACACGAAGCCCTCGGGTCAGCTCCATCCCCAGCCACGTGCCAGTGAGCCACACCTCAACCATCCAGAGCTGCCCACGCTGCTTCCCTAAGTCCCCACAGTGTCTCCACCTCTGCCTGCCCCTGGATGTGAAGTGGAAGACGAGCCATCACAACAGACCCGGGGGGGGGGCCAAGACACCTGCCCCAAGGGCATGAGCCACGTGGGCCACAGTGCCATCAGGCCCCCGCCACCAGTCACTGAGGGACCTCAGGAGCAGACAAGGTCCACGCAGACTCCTGCTGGTGGCCTCTTGTAGCACAGGTAGGACCCTGTAGCACAGGTTCTGTTCCAGCTGGGCCCTCGCCCCAGGGGCAGCATGGGCACCTGCAGGTCCCTGGAAGAAGCTGGTAAAACAGCCTGATGGTGGCCACAGCGCCACAGGAAGCCTTGCAGGAGTCATGTACCTGGGAGAGCCGTGGGGCCAGACGTCTCGGACTGAGAAAGACGCCCCCGAACTCCTGGGGGTCAGGTTGTCCTTCCTCCGTATCCCCAGACTCACAGGGACGCACCTGTGTGCACTCAGCACGCAAGCTACATTTGCCCCACATGAACATGCAGACACACAGGCTGCACACGCGCATGCACACAACATGCGCACGGACACAGCATGCCGACACACACATTGTGCACATAGACGCACGTACGTGCACGTGGGCCCGTACACACGGCATGTGGACACACACTGATGTGCACGTGGACACCCACAGACACAGAGTCTGCAGCAATCAGCAGAGGTCCTCATGGAAAGCCAGGCACAGCTCGGGCGTGAGCACTTCTCCGACTGTCCCAGACACCTGCTTCCGTGGAGCCTGGCCGCCCCGAATGGCTGAGAGGTCTTGTCTCCACAACCCTGGGGTTGCGACAGGAGTTCCACTGGTGTCCTGGCTCCAGGGGCCTGGGCTGGGCTCCTGCCTAGGCGGCCCATGGACAGACAGCCATACGCTGCCCAGAACTGAGCCACATATGGAAGTGATCTCAATATATAAAGAACTCCTACAAGTCAATAAAAACTGGGGGAACATCGTCAGTCCGTGGTCAGTGTTGATTCTGAATCCGGTTCCGACATGAGGCAGGGTTCCCTACCCCCAAGCAAGTCTGTGCAGCCCCAGCAGGGTGTCCTGCACTTTGACTCACCCCTGACACCGTCTGCCTGGACTCGGCGTCCGATGCCACAGGCTAAGGGCTCTGTCCCACGCGAGCACCCCACTGCCACTGCGGACATCGGTCACAAGTCCGGGCATCACCTGTACTTCTGGCCAAACGGCCATGAGTCAGAGGCTCCCACAGTCCCCTCCTCGGGTTCGGCTAATTTGCAAGAGTGGCTCACAGAACTCAGGGAGACTAGTCCACTCACTAAATTACTGGTTTCTTCCCAAGAACGGTGAAGGGTGCGGACCAGCCTCTGGAAGACGAGATCACAGGGCGAGGTCTGTAGCAAAAGAATTTCTGTCCTCCTGCAGTCTGGTGCCAGCGTGGTGGCGCAGGGAGGCAGTCTGGTTCACTGGCCTGGACGCTCTCTGATCCCCGTTTCAGGAGGCTTCTCTACACAGCTGTGCTTGGCCACTGCTGATTGATTCAACCTCCCCCGGGGGCTCCCCTGGAAATCAGCGGGCAGGACTGAGAGTTCCCTCAGCTCAGGTTCCCTTGGCGACCGGTCCTTCTCCTTTAGACGTTTGCCAAAGTCTCCTCATGACCACAAACCTGGTTGTGGCGTGAAGGGGTTTGTGAATGACAAGACACGCATCTGGTCCTGGTGGGCAAAAAACAAATGTGTATGTATGACGAGTTCTGCCGCTGCAAAACCCCGTTAGGAAAGTGGGTGGGCTCACAGCAAAGGTGGCATGTCCCAGTGGTGGATGCCCTCGTGAAAAGACACTCAGCGTGTGAGGAATGAGGGGGTGCAAAGCAGATGGGAGGCGACGCCACCTGCCACCTGCCCCAGCAGCTGGATCTGAGCCGTCGTCAGCCACGGCAGTGAGCAGAAGGGAGCTGGGAACCCAGCTACATTTCAGGTAAGAGAGGAAATTAGCGCATGCACTTGGGAAAGGGTTTGCGTTGCCTATGAAGCTGACCGTCCAGTAGCAGACCCAGGTTTGGGGCCTGCTGACAGCCCCCCCGCCACACACACACACGGAAGTCCTCCCACCGCCGGGTGTGACTGTTCCCCACCTGCTTGGGGTGTGACTCGCCCCTGCAACACCCAGGACAGCCCCCGCTCCGAGATGCCTGGGACTCGAGCCCAGCCCGTGGTGGCCTGCTGCCAGAGGCCGACGCATTCGAACGCGCGGGCGCCAGGCACCGCGGTCTGGGGTAGAAGTGTGCTCCCGAGCCCCCGTGGGTCAGGCTGGCCTCGACTTCACCTGAAACCATATCCGTCCCTTCCTCCGGCTCCTCCTCGCTCTCTGAGAGCGTCTCCTTCGGAGCCGGGCACGCGCCCAGCTCAGGTTCTGCTTCTCAGGAGTTCCAGCCGGGATACGGTAGATCCCCAAACTCCCCAATCCCCCCCCAGAGCTCTGCACCCAACAGAGCGTGCGCATGGTGTGGGACACCCATGTGCACGGTCCCGAACGCAAAACGGTAACCGACAGAAGTTCTGGGAGCAAGTGCGTGTCAGCTCAGCAGGAGAGGACCGCAGGCAAGCGGCGCCGGGGGCGGCACCGTAGGTAAACCATGTCCCCCCGCAGGAGACATTGAAGTGTCAGCCGCAGCACCTCAGGCCGTGACCGTCCCTGGAGGTGTACAGTGACTGCTACGTTCATGTTGTTTCGGGGGTATTCGAGCTGTGAGCACCCCGTTGTCCCACCCCTTCAACACGAGCAGCTCTCATTGTGCAGTGCTGGCGGTGGTGGCTCGCGAGAAGGGGTCTTCCCACACGGGAAGCACATGGACCAGCATGTAATTAGTTAACATGAGGTCACATGAAGTGTGACTGGTGACCCTGTAAGGGAAGAGAGACACACACACAGACGCACCAGGGAGAAGGCCATGTGACAGGGAGAGTTTGCAGGGATGTGGCCAGAAATCACAGGTCACCGCCTGAAGCTGGGAG